GTATCCCGAAGTGAAGCGCCACACACACACCCATCAAGGACAGCATAAAGGTACGATTTGAAGCATCCTATGAGGAGGAAACATCACCGAAGTATCCCGAAGTGAAGCGCCACACACACACTCATCAAGGACAGCACAAAGGAAAGATTTGAAGCATCCTATGAGGAGGAATCATCACCGAAGTATCTCGAAGTGAAGGGCCACACACACACACCCATCAAGGACAGCATAAAGGTAAGATTTGAAGCATCCTATGAGGAGGAAACATCACCGAAGTATCCCGAAGTGAAGCGTCACACACACACTCATCAAGGACAGCATAAAGGTAAGATTTGAAGCATCCTATGAGGAGGAAACATCACCGAAGTATCCCGAAGTGAAGCGCCACACACACATTCATCAAGGACAACATAAAGGTAAGATTTGAAGCATCCTATGAGGAGGAAACATCACTGAAGTATCCCGAAGTGAAGCGCCACACACACACCAATCAAGGACAGCATAAAGGTAAGATTTGAAGCATCCTATGAGGAGGAAACATCACCGAAGTATCCCGAAGTCCCCTATTTCACTCACCTCCCACTGGTCTCTTAGTCACTGAAGAGGAAGAAGAGGAAGAAGAAGAGGAAGAAGAAGAGGAAGAAGAAGAAGAAGAGGAAGAAGAAGAAGAAGAAGAAGAGAGAAGGGAGAACCTTCCTCCTCTTTCACTCACCTCCCACTGGTCTCTTAGTCAATGGTCTTTCAGGCTTGGCTCTAGCTCCTTGAGCATAGCTCTCCCACCTCCCCAAGTCCTCCCCTTCTCTCACACTTCTCCTCTAGCTATGGCAGGCTCCTACCTCTAAGGCTGTGGAGTCCTTCCCTCTAGAAGGGCTAAGGGGACCCCTTTCAGCCTTTCCTCCTACTTCACAGCTTCAGAGCTATGGCAGACCACTCTCCTTGCTCCCTTCTAGCCTCTGGGTCACCTTTTCTCAGTCTTACCACCATAGCCAGGCTACAGGCTAGCTCCGACCCTCACTCCCTTGCTCTATCTCACTAGTACTCACTCACGGACTCATTTGGGCAGCATGGGCACCTCTCATGCTCAAATGAGAGTTGCGGCCTACACCTCCAGCTTATATAGGCTGGAACAGGTGTACCGCCCAACCTCTAGGCCCCTCCAAGTGCCTCTAGGTGGAGCGAGGTACCCCAAGGGCCAAATTTCCAGTTTTGGCCTACCTGGAGGTACATGGGCCTCATTTTGGCCAGGTACATGCAGTTCGAGAGGCTGGTACCCTCTCGGACTACCCGTTGGCCTACCCTGGTCTCTTTTCTTTTCAAAAAGTGCTGCCTTTTGGGTACCACTACCCCAAAATGCAGCCTTTACCAAAATTTGAGGGCCTAGAGGCCCGTTTTTCGTTTTTCCCTAGTCTAGGCCTCTTGTGAGTAAGCCGTTGCATTTTCCCAAGTGGCGGCACAGATCTCAGCCTTGGATTTGGCTAAGATCTATGGTTCTCATCATTCCGAGTTACTCCAAGCTCCCCTTGCTCCAAATTTGAGCCCTTTGCCCCAATTTTCAAT